GTGGCCTTAGAGCTTCGATCGCGAACCTTCGGGACTCGATGAGTCACTCTGGTGACTCGGCGAGTGGACAAGTATCTCAAGGAACTCGACGAGTTAGGGTTAACATGGACTGCTTACCTTGATCGTTGACTTTGATTTGGATCGGGGGTTGACTAGTTGACTTATGGGGTACCTTGAAAGGTTGGGAACTTACGAGTGTGGTTATATTGTGATAATAGGTGGTGGAGTTTGTGGCAGTAATCCGAGAGTTGGAGTTTGTCTACCGAGTCGACATCTGCAAGGTGAGTTATCCTCACTTTACTAAGGGGTCTAAGGCACCAAGGCCGACCCATTAGATTTGTTATCCTAGTAGTTATTGATATGTCGAGTTTGGGTTAGTGATGTATGCTAGTTGATATGCTAGTAGGGTAGACCTGTAAGACTACTTGTGATACTGTATGATTATCTTTATGTGCATTAGTTATGATACATGTTGATATGTTATGTGGGATGGGTTGAGGTGAGACTGCTTCGTGCGGTAATCCAACAAACCGGGGAGCATTCCAGTTACGGGCTAAGGGAGACTCGTACTATGGGCTCGATGGCAAGCCAGATGTGAGTTGTGGGCCGGAAGCAATCCAGACTCACACTGTGGGCTCAGGGGTAATCCAGTTTATAAAGTTGTGGACCCAATACATGATGTTCATTTGATATGATATTGTTGACATGGTTATGTGGATTGTATGTGTATCGGTATTTTGGGGGAACTCACTAAGCTTTCGGGTTTACAGTTTCAGTTTATTGTTTCAAGTACATCAGGGGATCGTGGCAAGGCGAAGGCATGATCGTACAACTCCTCACTTTTATGACTCTGTTTCTGGGATACTCTGATATGATACATTTTGAAAACTAGTTTGTAATAGTTAATGGATTTGAAATGTTTTTTAAAAGATTAAATTGTCTTGAATTTTTATGGGTGTTACAAGTTGGTATCAGAGCCTTGGTTTGAGTGAATTGGAGGTACATTCGTGTGAATCCAGTCTCAAATCAAGGGAAGATTTTAAAATGATTTCTAAAATGGTTTTCGAAATAAGTAAAGGAGGATGCAAGGTGTACGATCAGCCGAAGCCAGTAAGTAGACCCCAAAATACCATACATCTATTTGATTATGTGATATGTTAGGACAACATGCTAGTAATAGGCTAAGGATTTTCGGGATTTGCATGATAGAATTGCCTGATTACATGATGCCAGCTAGCCTAGGGTTTTCCTAATATGAGATTGACATCATTACTGTAGTTACTTGTGTATGCATCACGGCTGTATATAATCAAGATCTTATAGCCTGAGAATGTTTAATTCGACCTTAGGGTAGGATTGGATATTTGAAAGTCTATAGGGTCCAGTGTTATGTATGGCTGGCATACACTAGTACTGCAGGGTTGATGGAAGTTTCATGGATGGGTGGGTCGTGAGAAGCCGTGAGGTCAGTCGTAAGATAGTTTAGCATTCCTCTAGGAATGAGGGTCGGGCGCTAGCTATGTTATGTATATTGTTAGGGTATTGTGGTGATACTTGAGACAAATCTGGGTAGGTGTGGAAGGTAGTATGGGCCCGTACTACTGAAAGCACAAGACCCATACGCGTATCAAGGAAGTCACAACCCCTAGGGCTTAGTCGGGAGTTGGTCCCCTATTGTTATGTGATTATCTAATATCTGTTGGTGTGTTTTTAGTATGGTGATGACGAGACGTTTTGTGACTACATCCGGATCTAGATTAGGTCAGGGGACGGAGGCCAGGAGGTGTCGGTAGCACCTGAGCATGTGGTATAAATAGGGACGGATGAGCTAGATGCCAGGATTCGAGAGGTCCTACATAATGAGGTTGCCGCTTTGTTCCGGGCGCAGCTACCGGAGATGTTTGGGTCTACTAAGACCACTATGGTTGAGTACTTTGACGAGCATTACACAACCCTTGCAGAGACGGCTACTGCCGCAACTGCATCAGCAGTAACAACGACAGGGGGAGGTGGAGCTGGATGGGGTTTCCAGTATCGGGACTTTGATAACACGAAGCCCCCGACATTTGATGGTACTCAGGATGTGATTAGAGCTATGAGGTGTTGTCTGATGTGGAGGGTTGTTTCTTCACGTGTTCATGTCCTACTTACCAGAAGATCAGATGTGTCCTGAACCTGCTGAGGCTAGGGGCCAAGTATTGGTGGAGACTGACGACCAGATTATACACTGATGATCAGAGAGTTGTTGTTACTTGGGAGCAGTTCAGGGAGATGTTTCGTGCCCGCTATGTTCCATAGGTGGAGCGAGAGCTGTTGGCTCAAGAGTTTTTGAGTTTGAGGCAGGATGGAGAGTCGGTGATGGAGATCACCCGTATGTTCAAGTGTTTTACGTCACTGCTGACCAAATCATCCACTAACTACATTATTGTGTAGTGGCTTATCTTTGAGGGTCCTCTCCTATTTGGTTCTTGTCGAGGAATCTTCTTTAATAATAGTTTTGTCATTATTATTTTTGGTAGTGGAGGCCACCTTGATGGTTGAGCATCTTTGACAGTTGTATCTGTTAGTGTCATATCCCCTCTGTATACCAACAAGAATGTGGAATAGATTTCATCCTAGGAAATAACTTGTCTTTTGTATAGACCATTTATACAAAATCTCGAAACAGTTACTCTCCACAACAATGGTGCTCAAATCATTGTTGAAAATTCTACCAAAAGTTTTAAGAAATGTTATTTCTTAAAACTCTTAAAAAAGTTTTTGTTATCTGTTCTTACTGTAAAATTTACAGGTGTTAAATAGATTGAAAACTTTTCAATTACCCTTTTAACGGCAATATATCATTTTTCATTATAATGGTAATTTTTTTCAGCATCCTTAAAATATCCTGAGGTGTATCTATAAATTAATTCTTTGGATTGATCCTCATAATTTAATGCTTTAAGGATTCCTCCCTAATAATTATCTGAAGCATCAATCTCGATAATTAATTTATCATCTATATGGATGATATAGAGGTGGAAATTCTTTTTGGTTCTTTTTTAATTTTGCCATATAGCTAGAATCATCTTCAAACCATGACCAAAGGACATCTTTCTTAAGTTCGCATTGTAAGGGGCTTCTTACTTTGCAAGTTTAGGAATGTAGTCTGAAGCATATGTTAAGATTTCTAAAAATCTTTGTTCCTGTTTTTTATCTTCAGTTTTATTAGGAATTTTATGAATATTTCCCAAAATATGATTTTAAGGACGATGACATCCTTGTTCTATTTCTAACCCAAGAAAATTTATTTTACTTTTAAAAAGGTATGCTTTATTTTTGGAAATAATGATTCCAAGAAGATCACATTTTTTTAGAACAGCTGCTACGCGTAACAAATGTTCATTTTCATTGTTGCTGAATATGATGATATCATCTACATAAACACAACAAAAAATTTCAAAAGATCTGAATGCATTTTGCATGTCTTTGAAATATGGATGGAGCTTGTTTTAGACCGAAAGATACAACAATCCATTGGTAATGTCCTTAGGGACATGTGAAAGCTGTTAAGAGTTGTGATTTAGCATCAAGTAAAACTTACCAAAAGCCAGATTTACAGTCGAAAGAACTGAATATTGTTTTTCCTCTAATAAGGGTGACAAGTCCATCTTTATTAGGGAGATTATGATTGTCTCCTATAGTTGCTTTGTTAATAGATTTGTAGTTAACTACCATTCTTTTCTTTCCTCTTCTTATTTCTGCATCATTTTCGACAAGGAAAACGAGAGATTTGTGAGGAGATTTACTTGGAATGATGAGCTTTATTTTAAGTAGTTCTTTGATTTGTTTACTAAATTCTTCGACATCCTAAGGACTGTATTTCATAGGTTTAACTGTGTTGATAGTGGTCGGGTCAATTAATTATATGTTTGTTTCCATCCATTGTTTAGACTTTATTGGGTCTATAGGATTTTCTGAGCAAACTTTTTCAAGTAAACTTTCAATTTTTGAAAGTTTCTTCAATTTTTCTTTGAGAGATGTTGACAGGTTCTGGTTATTTAATTTTTCAATTATTTTTCATTGATTCTAAAAATCCAGGTTTTCCGTTTCTATAAGCGTTTGTGATTTTATCAATAATGATTTGAACACCATTGTTGTGGAAAGTAACTATTTTGAGATTTTATACAAATGGTCTATACAAAAGACAAGAAGTTATTTCTTAGGATGAAATCTATTCCACATTCTTGTTGGTATACATAGGGGATATGGAATATTCTCCGGCAAGTCTTATCTGTAAATCAACACATTTTTTTATAATTACATGTATGTTTGTTGTAGAAACCTTTATAGGTTTTAGAGTGTTAATCCAATGTTCTTTTGGAATAACATATTTACTTGCGATACAAAGACTCGCTCCTATATCAATATAACAATTTAAATCAATTTGTTTATATCCAGCGAATCTAAATGTACCTTTAACATAGGTTAAATTAGGATTTGTGATAGTTAGTATCACATTTTTAAAGTTCATGACCTTTGACTCGGTATCTGATTCTGTAGATGAAGAAGATGATGATTCATCAAGAGGTTCTCTAATCAATGTGTAGACGATTTGTTTATCTTGAAATTGTTCTTCTATAGGCCTAAGGTCCATAGATGATGCTATTTCAAGGAGTTTAACCTTTTGTGAGTAATCTTTCCTATTAAGACACTCATTGGCATAGTGTCCTTCTTCGTTGTAAACCTAACACTTGCAAATCTTTTTATTTTTCGGACAAAATTTACTTTTGTCTTTTGTTTTTTGAAAATCTTTTGATTTTTGGAAAAATTTCCCCGGTTTAAACCGTCTAGTATATTTCTGTTTTGAAAATCTTTTGCTGTTCTTTTTTTGAATACTTATTAAAAGATTTTCTTGAATAATTTTTCCTGATGTTTTATGGTCAAACAATAAAATGTTAGATTCTTTTGTTGCATATTTTTTTGTTAGTCTGAATGATTAGACTTATTTTCGAAGTCCATCAATCGATAACTTCTTTTCTCTTTGTTTCAATGTTGTCAATATTAAGAACGTTTGTTCCGAACTGGTCTGGTTTTCCAGTAGGAAGATCTGGCATAGAGCCAGTTCTATGACCTTGTTCAATTTTTGCTCTTATTCTTCTTTCACCTTGAAAAGAAGATTCTCCAGGATGATCAAAATGTGATTCGGTCTTATTCATCCCGAAGTTAGGCTCTATATTAGAAGAAAGAGATTGTACCTCTTCTTTTGAAATGTATATAGAAGTTTCTTCTATGATGTTAATCGTTTCATCAAAGTGGAAAAGTTGTTTAAGTTCCTTAGATGTAGAGATTTCTAACTTTATTGTATCATTTCCTTTATATTCAACAAGATCTAGTAACCTAAGAGCTTAATCAAGAATCGAGACATTTGATCCATTGATTATTAATTCTTCATCTTCTTAGTTATCCCAGAAGAATTTTTCTACTTTAGATAAATAGTCTATCATGTTGACTTAAAGTAGTCTTTAGGCCATGTCATAGAATTGGGATTCCTTGATGATCCAAGTTCTTCATTTCCTATATTATAATTAGGATATGAGTACTTACCAGTGAATGGTTTTTTATCTCCAGTTTTAGAATCTAAAACTATAGTACTTTTATTAATTATTTCAAAATTTTCTTTGTTTCAAGAACATTTTTGAAGTTCTTTGTTTCAAGAACATTTTTGAAAGGTTTATTATTTTTTGATATATCTTTAGAAATATCTTTTTGAATTCCAAAATAGTAATTATTTTAAGTGTGTTTAACCAGCATCTTGCGACAATCTGATTTATATTGTTGCAAATGTTAGCTAGGGTTTGAACGCCTACTTTTCCTGAAGAAGAAAAATCATATTCTTTTTTCTGAGTATGATCATCAAGATTTTTAAGTCTCAATGATTTACTATTTTTGTAAATATGAGGAAGGTCTATCTTATTCATTTATTACTTCTATTAGTTGGCTAATTGTTTGATTTAAATTATCAACTCCATAATACATACTTCTTATGCTTTTGAGTATATCTCTTAGAGTAGGTTCCTGAGGTTTGTACATTTCACCTATATGAAAAGAATCTATTGAGATTGTAGGTGATAGTTTTTCTCCTAAAGCTTTTTTGTTTTTGGCTATGTTTAAAGCCCAAGAGCTATCTTGAGGATTTATGTCACAAAATTGTTTATCTCTGACATGTTCTATTTCTGAGAATACATCTTCAAGTTCTATGTATTCTTCTTTTTTATAATCTATGCTATGATGACTATTTGTCAATGCATATCCTATGAGGTAGGTTATTATGAAGGGTTTATCTCCTGGATTCATGAGATCATTTCTTTCAAAGTGATGAATAAAAGATAAAACTTTATTTAAATTTGTTGATTTTGGATCTAAGACAAATTTAGAATAAACTGAAAACATGAATTTTTGGTAAGCTAGATTTCCTTTGGCTACACCAAGAATACAATCTTGTCGATGATTGATTCTATCATCAATCAAGACCATTTTTATTGGAGAATTAATTTATTCTTGAAACTGAGATTTGATTAGAATTTTTACTGCTCCGATGTGGATCATTTTAATTTTAGATCTTATTTTTGTGGGAATATCTTTTAGGTTACTGTTTATCTAACTTAAAAGATATTCCCACAGAAATAAGATATAAAATTAGAATTGTCCACATCAAAGCAGTAAAAATTCTAATCAAATCACAATTTCAAAAAGGAATTAATTCTCCAGTAAAATGATTTGAACATATATTATAATATATTTGTTTAAAGCTAATTCTTATATTAACAATTTTGGTATAAGATAATGGTTTTAACTCCTATATGTATATATATTATAACATACCTGTTTAAATTTAATTCTTATATTAACAATTTGGTATAAGATAATGGTTTTAACTCCTGTATGTATGTAAATTGGATAATAAGGACTCATTATGCAATGCGTTGGAAAATCAGGGCATAAGGTTTAAATTATTCAAATTTCTCTAAACTTATGGCATTTATGCAATTCTAGGAAGTACTGGGGTTCCTTCTGTAAAAACAAATGTTATAAAATAGAGCCAAAGGTGCAACCCCTAAAACCCTAGAAAGGATCTACTAGTTTGTGAGATCAGCGGCGGCGAAAATGGTGAAGTTTTTGAAGCCAAACAAGGCTGTGGTGGTTCTCAACGGCCGTTTCGCCGGAAGGAAAGCTGTAATCGTGAGGCAATTTGATGACGGAACCCGTGATCGTCCTTATGGCCACTGCCTCGTTGCCGGAATCGCCAAATACCCGAAGAAGGTGATCCGAAAGGACTCGGCAAAGAAGACGGCGAAGAAGTCGCGGGTGAAGGCATTCATCAAGCTAGTGAACTACAACCACATCATGCCGACTAGGTACACGCTCGACGTCGATCTCAAGGATGTCGTCACCGTCGACGCGCTTCAGTCGCATGACAAGAAGGTGACTGCCTGTAAGGAGACCAAAGCACGATTGGAGGAGAGGTTCAAGACCGGGAAGAATCGTTGGTTCTTTTCAAAGCTCCGATTCTGAGCAAAAGATAAGTTGTTTTACATTTCCTTTTTTGTGTTTGTTCTTCTCAATTTTCCGCTGATGGATTTTAATGCTCGACTTTTATTGATACTAGTGAACCTTCGATTTCGATATGTTTTGCATCTTCTCTTGTAGTTCTTAATTATAATCGAATTTTGTGCTTATGATGGTAATATGCTGGATCAAATCGATGTTGGATTTGGGAGTTTAGTTGCTTATTAACCTGAAATGTGTTGTTTTTAGTGCTGAATTGCTTGATTCAGCTAGGTTATGTGATAAATTAACATGATAATCGAAAGTTCACCATATAAACAAAATGCATATTCTTCATGGAAAAGTCTGCTCATGAATTAGTTCTCACTATCACTATCTTTTTTCATGAGACTCTAAAAGCTACATTGTGCATTTAGCTTGAGCTGAATATTTGCTTTTAGTTACAAACTGATGTAAGTTTGTGAAACATCGTAAATGAATACATAAGAGTTGGAATCTTGTCTTTTATGTTTTATGAGAATCCGTATTGTTAAACATTCATTTGATCATTAGTGGGTTTGATTGATAACAGAAGCTCGATTGAAAATCTCTTCATATTCGTTTGGAATCTTACAGCTTTTAATCCTATATTATCATTTAAAAACATAAGTGTATTGTAGTGTTTTTCAAATTTGGTAACAACACTTACAGTAGGAATGAAACTAGATTGCTATTTGATGAAATTATATCGACATAACTTCTATGAAGATTCATTTTAGTCCATTTTATCAAAATATCGAGTCCAGTCATCAAGTGTAATCTATATTCGGTTATAAACTAAAAGTTGATAATTTTGTTAGATTAAATCAATTAAACTAATTACGTCTTACTTTGTTGTGGCATCTTGCATCTTGGTATATTACGTCTTACTTGATTTCACATTATCAAATAATAGTTCTATGAGTGTTGCCTCAGAATCTAGATTAATACATCTCGAACAAGTCTGTCAAAAGTCAAAACTATTTACAACAATGAGTAAATAAATCCAATTCTCTAGTCAAATTTGTACATTAAACATGGAAGTCGTATAGAATATTTAAACAAATAAAATCTTCAAACGTGTATTGGCACAAGATATCATCTTTAAAACACCATCGTAAAATGGAAGTAGTGTGATATGTAAAACTCGTTAAACTGTATGTACAAACCCGGTCATCTAGTCCTAATCCCCACCTCATAGCTTTGTGAGGAGTCGATGTCTTCAAAGATTGTATGTAATTTCATACGAAAGGTTCATGATTTAGGGGGTGTTTGGATAAATAGTTTTTAGCTTATTGAATAAATCTTTTTAAAATGTGTTTGGATTAGTTTATTGTGGTGAGAATGATCAATAAGCAGTTTATATGAGTAAAATGATCAATAAGCAATCAGCATTCTCCTCTTGTTTTGATCAATAAGCAATCAGCATTCTCCTCTTGTTTATTAAAATCATTTTATTTTGTTTATTTCTATCCTAATAAGCTGATTTTTAAAGATTCATATCCAAACACTTAAATTTGCTTATTGCGGTGGGATTAAGCAATAAGTAATAAACAACATCCTATTTTTTCCCTATCCAAACACCCCCTTAAACCTAATGGTCATTTCATGCCCAAACCAGCAAGAAATGAATGAATGATATTTAATTCCTTTTTTTAAATGTCTATGCATCCTAAACATCATATAACATCTTTAAAAATGTGCATCGGAGCAAAAAATGGCAAGTCTTCTATACATCTTTAAAACTGCATTATTATCGTTAACTCAAATAACATTTACAATGTGATTATAAATATTGTATTTTGTATGATTTTTGTAGCTTATGATTTCATAACAAATCTTTTAAATAAACAAATTTGTTAACTAAAAATATTACAAAGTATATATAATTGTTCCAAATGTGCAAAAAGAGTTAGACTTTATCTTTGTACACATCACATATTTCTTCAAAAAAGCAATGTGTCATCGGTTTTGTTGACATCAATATTATGTCGGTTTTCATCTTGAATTTAGCGAGAAATCCAACCATAGTTCTACAAGTGTTGAAATCTTCTTTTGCAGGGGTCAAAACATCTCGAACTTATGTAGGATCTATTATAATATAGTAAATATTATTATTATTATTATTATTATTATTATTATTATTATTGTTATTATTATTATTATTATTATTATCACTATTATTATTATTATTTTGTAAAAAAATCAGTTTTAATACCCCTTATTTAGGATATTGTATCTCATTGAATATACAACTACATAATGCGTTTAAATAGTGTAAACTATATTTTAAACTGTGAACTACAAGCAAGGAAAAAAAATCGGACTAATTGGACAAATAACGAAGTTATGACACTTCAAAGTTGGCTAAAAAATTTCGAACATGCTAAAACAGAAAACTCAGCTTTAATACCCCATGTTTAGAGGTTTGTATCTCACTAAATATGCAACCAAATAACGCATTTAAATAGTGTAAACTATAGTTTAAATTGTGAACTACAAGTAGGAAAAAAATCGGGCTAATCGGACAAATAACGAAGACGCTATGACACTTCAAAGTTGGTTAAAATTTTGCGAACACTTTGAAACAAAAAAACTTAGCTTTAATACCCCATGTTTAGGGGTCTGTAACTCACTGAATATACAACCAAATAACGCATTTAAACAATGTGAGCTATAGTTTAAATTGTGAACTACAAGCTGGAAAAAAATTAGGTTAATCGGACAAATAACGAAGATGTTATGACACTTCAAAGTTGGCTAAAAATTTGCAAACATGTTGAAACAAAAGACAAAAATAGTGACTTTTCAAATTCGGTTCGGTCCTTTTGGCACGAATAAGCCCTTATTCGGGTAACCCGAACCAAATAACCCGAAAACCGAATAAGCCTCATATAGATACCCGAAAACCGAATCAAATTGTTTATTCGGGTCTAATTCGGTGCAAGTTTTCGGGACAACTTCTCATCCCTACCTACAAGTTTCATGTTTAAAGTTTTCCCAAACTTCATAATGACTTCGCTTAGTGTTAGTGACCAACACCAAGGCTACTATGAGAGGATTCCAAGGTAATCATGGTTTTTTTTTTTTTTTTTTTTTTTTTTTTTTTTTTTACATTAATAGATCTGGTGGGTTACCCCCCTCTCTCTCTCATATGAAAACCCCAAAAAATTAAGAACCATTTCATTAAAAGTATTTTGGTTAATATATATTTTTTCTTATCATTTAACACCACATTTAAACATTCTCACCAAATACTCTCTCATAAGTTTTTAAATTCTCTCAACTTTCAAACACTTGCTTCTTCTACAACATCCACCACCACCTAACTCTGGCAACTGTACAACACCGCCGCCACCAAACTTCGACGACTATCCACCACCGCCACCTACCATCTCTGTCATGTTGTTGTCTTCTGCCGCCAAATAAACTCATTATCACCGTCGATACGTCCTTCTCTAGCAACTTTCAACATATTCGAAAGATTCTAGTGGGTTTTTTTTTTCATTTCCGGTGGTGTTCCTAGTCCAGATCTATCTAAATTCGATCAAATCTAGAACATATGTCTTCAAATCGGCTTTCATCGCCCTCACCACAACCTCTTGCCATTGACGTTGATCTCGTAGCCACAACCGCTAATTTTAGATATGGAGTCGCTAACTTCAGATCTAGAACATCCACATTCAGATCTTCCCTGATCGTCAACGTCAGCCTTCTATAACTTCATATCTATGAGTTGTGCTTCATTTCTGACCACCTTTCGACCAATG